GGTACTCAGTGGGATTGGACAGACTTTTTCCGAATTTTAAAGTTTTGTTTTTCTTCTTTTTGATTAGGAAACTGTTCAAATTGGGATCTGTCCGATCCTTCCCACTTGTCTGCTTCCTACCTATTCCTCCCCCTCCAGTCCGGGTACTGGGCCAGTCCATCAGATTGGCCCTCGAGTGACTCTTCAGACTTCGGGCACAGCAGTGCATGACACTGCTCGCTCGATCACAGACCAAGGCCATGGACCGGAAGGCGGGAGAATCCCTCCTGGCCTATGAGGAACGCCTGGCGGCATTCATTCAGGAGGCCAATGATAGGGCCGCCGCCGCGGCCAAGGAACGTAATCGGCTCGAACAAGAGGAGGAGGCCAAGCAACAGAAGGAGGAACAGGACCGACTTCGTCAAGAAGAGGCAGACCTGCAGGCGGCAGCCGAACACCGGTCACGCCAGCGGGAACGACTGTTCACGCGGGAGACCGTGATCGGCGATGAGGCTGCACAATGGGTGGAAGTGACATCTGCAGACGGGGCCCCGAAGACTGAGAAAGGGTTGTCAGCCCTTGCGCAGGTCTCCCACGACCTCGTGGCCACCTGCGCTCTGCAAATCCTTCACCTGCAGCAGACCGTGGACCAGATGCTCGCACGGCTGCAAGCGTTGGAGAAACAGCCAGCTGCTGTAGCAGCCGCAGGGCCTTCCACCCTTGCCACCCGTGTGCAAGTTTTGGAGGATGACGTCAGCAACATCAAACGTGTGCATCGGGACTTCCGGACGTCGAGACGCAGGTATAGGCTGCTGCCACCGTGACGCCCGCCGCCGCATCCTCCCGGCGCCCACCCAAACTGGATGACATTCCAGTTTTCTGCGATCAGTCCAAGACGGAACCAAACCCGTGGTGGCGCCAATTTACTCTCAGGCTCGACATGCACCATGTCCCGAACAACGATCGACATCCGTGCTTGTACCACCGATCTGGTGGTGCATGTCAAGCATGGTTGGACAACATCTTGACCAGCCACGGCGTAGCAGTGTCGGAACTGCACACCAAGCTCACTTGGCAAGAGTTGACTGATGCCTGGCACAAGCGATTCCAAGTGGAGCCGCCCGACCTGCAAGCGATGGACAAGCTCAACAAGCTCCATCAGAACACGCTGCTCAGTCAGGACTGGATTATCGAGTTCCAAAGACTTGCCTCCACACCTGACCTGCCGCTTGCTTTCCGCGCCATTAAGCACTTGTTTATCATGCGCTCGTGTCCAGCTTTGCAAAACGCGCTGACGCAAATTGCAGAGACACTCGACACATCCGACAAGCTTTTCAGTACCGCGGCACGGATCATTCTCACGAATATCGAAGCCCGCAACGCCGGCCGATCTTCCGCGACGACGAGCGGCACCTAGCCCAAGCCAAAGGTGGCTTGCATTACTTCTACCGAGGCTGCAACACCAAACGAGGGTGAAGTGTTGGCAGCTGCCCGGGATGGTGGCCGGCYGYGCAACAACCACGGCCGCGACAAGACGAAGACTCAGTCCACCTCTACACCGAGCACCGGATCAGCCGCCGACGAACCTTGGGCACAATACGGACTCTCGGCGAATTCTTATCGCAC